CTTTCACTGTGTATATATAACCACGGCCGGTATTATAAGGGTTGTATTATTAGTGAAGCTATTTAAGGAGTGATGCACTGTTGCCAGATGGCCACGCCTCTGAAATGTGTTGTCCTGGCAACTGTTGACCTATTGGATCCCTTGGTATCTCTGCAAGGTGGGGTGTAAAGAAACTCCCATGCCCACTCTATGCCCTTTTCGGTGGTCTTGACAGCTAGGAAAGCAGCTGCCCCAAGGTTCAGCAAGCCTTCCCTGTGTAACATCCATCTGGGCTACAGGCGGCTGGCAAGTGCGGTAATCCCCCAACAGGATTGAGGGACTCCATGCGGACTTGTTACTAATTGATACGCATGGCACAAGACTTTTCATTGTGAGGTCATATGTATTTTGAATCTCTCTATATTAAAGGCTTATTACACTAGGGCCGGTGCGCTCTCTCTCTCTCTTTGTTTATGTTCTCACAGCTGACAATGCATACTGTGTCAGAGCAAAGGCCGTGAGGTCAAAGGAACTGCCTGCAGAGCTCAGAGACAGGATTATTGCAAGGCACAAATCTGGGGACGGCTACAAAAAAATATCTGCTGCGCTGAAGGTTCCCAAGAGTACAGTGGCCTCCATAATTCTCAAATGGAAGAAGTTTGGCACAACCAGGACTCTTCCAAGAGCTGGTCGCCCGGCCAAACTGAGCAATCGGGGGAGAAGGACCTTACTAAGAATGGCGACCAAAAACCCGATGGTCCCTGTGACTGAGCTCCAGAGATCCCCTGTGGAGATGGGACAAAGTTCAGAAGGACAACCATCACTGCAGCCCTCCACTGATCTGGGCTTTATGGCAGAGTGGCTAGACGGAAGCCTCTCCTCAGTGCAGAACACATGAAAGCCCAATTGGAGTGAGCAAAAAGCAGCTGAAGGACTCAGACTGTGAGGAACAAGATTCTCCGGTCTGATGGAACCAAGATTGAACTGTTTAGCCTGAAATCTAAACGATGTGTCTGGAGGAAACCAGGCACCGCTCATTACCTGCCCAATGCCATCCCAACAGTGAAGCATGGTGGTGGCAGCATCATGCTGTGGGGGTGTTCTCCAGCAGTGAGGACTGGGAAGACTGGTTAGGGTTGAGGGAAAGCTGAATGGAGCAAACTACAGAGATATCCTCAACGAAAACCTGTTCCACAGCATTCAGGACCTCAGCCTGGACTAAAGGTTCACCTTGCGATCCTAAGCAAACAGCCAAGACAACACAGGAGTGGCTTAGGGACAACTCTGTGAATGTCCTGGAGTGGCCCAACCACAGCCCTGACTTGAACCCTATTGGACATCTCTGGAGAGACCTGAAAAGTTCTGTCTACCGATGGTCCCCATCCAACTTGACTGAGCTTGAGAGGATCTGCAAAGAAGAATGGCAGAAAATCCCCCAATCCAGGGGTGCAAGGCTTGTCACATCATCCCCAAAAAACTCGAGGCTGGAATTGCTGCCAAAGGTGCTTCAACAAAGTACTGAGTAAAGGGTCTGAATACTTATGTCCATGTCTTATTTCAGTGTTTTCTTTATAATAAATCCACAGATATTTCTAAAATTCTGTTTTCGGTTTGTCATTATGGGGTCCCGATTTCAGATTTAGCCACTTCCCGTCCAGCCCATGTACATAAACGGCCAGACGGGAGCAGTGCAGGAGCAGGTTGCCGTTCATAAACGGCGCCCGCATTTACAGCCTGTGTGCGCTCCCTGGGAACATGTGGCACTGCAATACGGTGCCCACTGTGTCTGGAGACACCGATCGCTGTACGGGACCTCTTTGTGAGGTCCCGGTCATGTGATCACTGATTGGCCAATCAGTGATCACATTAGTAGTAGTAAGCAAGATGTCACTTCCGGACATCATTGCTTACTATGTGTGAAATCTGTGAATGATCACAGAGATCACATGGTACAGGGCTATTCACAACAGCCTTGTACCATGTGACAAGCTGTGACCAATCACAGCTCTCACAGTATTTCTCAATGGCTGCAAGAATGCAGCCAGAGAGAAGGAGAAATTATTGCTTTTACAGACTTTATGGGTGTGAAAGTAATCAGTGTAAAAAAAGAAAAAGAAAATCTTCATCACCTCCCACAAGTAGTACAGTGTCACTATGGTAACACTGTACTGCTAGGGTGATGGTATGTTAAAAAAAAACAAAAATAAATAAATAATATAAAAAAATTTTTTTTGAAAAATTATAATTTGTGGTTATTAACTAATTTGGGTTATATTTTTATGTCACTAAAAAGATAACTGAATACATTTTGGCCAAGATTTATGAAGAAAGATTATTTGCAAATTTTTTTCAAAATGTTTGGACTTTTTCATTTACATAGCAAAAAAAAAAAAATCCCAGTGGTGAATAAATCCCACCAAAAGAAATGTATCTGTCTCAAAAAAAAAATGCTAAAAAATTCATATGGGTACAGTATTGCATGACCCGCGCAATTGTCATTCAAACTGTGATAGCGCTGAAAGCTGAAAATTGGCCTGGACAGGAAGGGGGGGAAAGTGTCCGGACTTGAAGTGGTTAATAAGGGAAAAAAATGAATTTAAACAAGTGTAGTATCAGGCTGCAACATGGCAAAATTGAAAAAAGGGAAGGGGGTCTGAATACTTTATGAATGCACTGGATGTCTCCTAGAAGTTACACAGAGTTAGGGACCGCAGTAATCAGAGAGGCCTGGACAGGACAGTGTGGCTCAGCCTGTATAGAGAGTGTGCTGGAGAACCTTTTATATGGTCCTGTTGGGGAGATTTACCTTCACTTCCTGTCAAGTCTCTAGCAGAGATAAAACCAAAAAATAGATTTTTTTTTTTTGTTAAAGTGGAGAAGGCTTGGAACCTAGAACTGGGATAAATGCTCCATTTTTTCGTACCTAAATAAAATAAAAAATAATAAAATAAATTATAAAAAATTATTTATTTTTTATTATTATTATTTTTGTTTATTTTTATTTTATTTATGTTTTACATGTGGGAAGACATTATATGCTAGCCGCACAAGTTCTTTAAGAGGTCGATAGTGCTGAGGGTTTTCTATACACATGTCTATACTTACCTTCTATGTGCAGTGGTTTTGCACAAAGCAGCCCGGATTCTTCTCTTCTCGGGTCCCCCGCAGGCTCTCCTGGCTCCTCCTTTCTGTCGGGTGCCCCCATAGCAAGCAGCTTGCTATGGGGGCACCCACTGCTCCGTGTGTCCATACACACACGGAGCCGCGGCTTGGCCCCACCCCTTGGATCCTCTTTTTGGGTCCCCAGCAGGCTCTCCTGGCTCCTCCTTTCTGTCAGGTGCCCCCATAGCAAGCAGCTTGCTATGGAGGCACCCACTGCTCCGTGTGTCCATTCACACACGGAGCCGCGGCTTGGCCCCACCCCCTGGATTCTCTTTTCGGGTCCCCAACAGGCTCTCCTGGCTCCTCCTTTCTGTCAGGTGCCCCCGTAGCAAGCAGCTTGCTATGGAGGCACCCACTGCTCCGTGTGTCCATTCACACACGGAGCCGCGGCTTGGCCCCACCCCCTGGATCCTCTTTTCGGGTCCCCAACAGGCTCTCCTGGCTCCTCCTTTCTGTCAGGTGCCCCCGTAGCAAGCAGCTTTCTATGGGGGCACCCGCTGCTCCGTGTGTCCTTTCACACACGGAGCCGTGGCTTGGCTCCACCCCCTGGATCCTCTTCTCGGGTCTCCAGCAGGCTCTCCTGGCTCCTCCTTTCTGTCGGGGGCCCCCATAGCAAGCAGCTTGCTATGGGGGCACCCACTGCTCCGTGTCTCCATTCAAATGGAGCTGCAGCTTGGCCCCACCCCCTGGATCCTCTTTTCGGGTCCCCAGCAGGCTCTCCTGGCTCCTCCTTTCTGCTGGGTTCCCCCATAGCAAGCAGCTTGCTATGGGAGCACCCACTGCTCTGTGTGTCCATTCACACATGGAGCTTCGGCTTGGCCCCACCCCCTGGATCCTCTTCTCGGGTCCCCAGCAGGTGCTTCTAGCTCCTCCTTTCTGTTGGGTGCCCCCATAGCAAGCTGCTTGCTATGGGGGCACCCGCTGCTCCACATGTCCATTCACACACGGAGCCGCGACTTGGCCCCACCCCCTGGATCCTCTTTTCAGGGTCCCCCGCAGGCTCTCCTGGTTCTTCCTTTCTGTCAGGTGGCCACACCTCCTCGCTTTTCTCATTGGCTCACTGGCTGTGATTGCACCAATCGCTCCCGCTTGCTGTCTCAGCCAATGAGGACGCAGATTCTGTTGTGCACATTGCTGCATCTCGATTGGGCTCAGGTAAGTATTGTGGGGGCTGGGGGCACTGCTGCACACAAATGCATTTTTTATATATTACAAAATATATGAAAAATATTTTTAAAAAATATATATTTTTATATATTAAAAAATGCATTTCAACATGCAGTGTGTAATAAATAGTTTTTTTTTAAATATATTCTGATTTTTTTTAACATATAAAAAAGTCATTTTAACATATATTTTTACATATATTTGTAAATGCATTCCAAAAATGTAGATTTGTATTTTTAAAGACATTCAGTATATTTGAAATGTATTTTTAAAAATAAATTTCATATCATTTGTAATAAAAGCGCATTTCAACATGCATATAGATATATATATATATATCTATATTTGTATTTATTTATTGAAATATATATTGAATATGGTCAAAATTGTAGCATTTAAAATATATTTTTCCTCCATATGGGTTGGGCTGGGCCTTGGGAGGTGCTACGCAGATATCAGAATGCGATGGTGCCGAGCCTCCATGGTTGAGAGAACTGAAGTCCAGTAAATGAAGGGGAGGGCTCTGGGTCAGGTTGGAGCTCTGTGTGACTTGTTGCAGCTTCTAGTGAACAATGTGGGAAGCTCACAGTGTGCAGTAAAATCAGAGTAAGCCATTGCAGTCCTGTAGAAGAGCCGGTACAAGACTGAAGGGATGCCTGGAGTTCATCTTTAATGGTTTTTACTGCTTGTTTTCCCTAGAGGGAAGATTGAGAACTTACCAAACAGAAGAAAGGCCTGTGAGCTCAGAGGAGGATGGAATCACTTTGGATTTTGCAGAAGAAACAGCCATCGCTCCAAACCACGCCCTTCTGCTCCGCCGCCCACATCCATCCCAACATCTTTCCTTAGAGCCAGCTCTCTCCAAAGATCGATATCAGCCCACATTGGAGAGGCCGTACGCCTGTTCTGAATGCGGGAAATGCTTTTCAGACAGAAGCATCCTTCAGAGACATGAAAAAAGCCACACAGGCGAGAAGCCGTTTTCCTGTTCCATGTGCGGGAAATGTTTCATCCAGAAGTCCTACCTCATCCGGCATCTGACGACACATAAAGGGGAGAAGCCTTACAAGTGTTATGAGTGCGGGAAGTGCTTTACCAGAAAATCCGGCCTGGATGGGCATCAGATGATTCACACGGGAGAGAAGCCACACTCCTGCCCCGAATGCGGCAAAGGTTTTCCGCACAAATCCCAGCTGCGAACACATCACAAAATCCACACGGGCGATTTGCAGTTTTCGTGTTCCGACTGCGGCAAACTTTTTGTACAGAAGTCGCAGCTCGTCCGGCATCACCTGACGCACACGGGCGAGAAGCCGTTTTCGTGTTCGGAATGCGGGAAGTGTTTTATGCTGAAACAAAGTCTAGATAAACATCACATGACGCATACCGGGGAGAAGCCGCATGCGTGTTCCGAGTGCGGGAAGAGTTTCATCCTGAAACAAACCCTTGCCAAACATTGCCTGACTCACACTGGGGTGAAGCCATATTCTTGCTCGATATGTGGAAAACGGTTTACAGGAAGGAGCAATCTTTCGAACCATCAGAGGCTTCACACGGCCGACAAGACCTTTTCTTGTTCTGAGTGCGGGAAATGTTTCACCCGGAGGGACTGTCTTATTTCCCATCAGCGGACTCACTCGGGGGAGAAGCCTTACTCATGTCTGCAGTGTGGTGAATGGTATTCCCACAAATCGTGTCTTATGAGGCATGAAAGGGTTCACAGAGGGGAGAAGCCATACCCGTGTTCCGAATGCGGCAAGTGTTTCACGGAGAAAGCCCGGCTCGTCTCGCACCTAAGAGTCCACACCGGCGAGCGCCCCTACACGTGTACCGAGTGTGGGAGAGGCTTCAAAGAGCGATCCGTGTTGATCAGACACAAGAGAATTCACATGGGTGATCCGTAGCATTCATGACCTGAAGGTGGGGAACATTTTTCGCCAAAAGTCTCCCTTATATCACAAATGAGAAAAAGGAGAGAAGCGCCTCTAAGTGCAATAAGTCTTTTAATTCAAGTCTAAATGTAGAAACACTCACATGTGTGAAGTAATCATAAGCTTAAAAACCGTGGTTAACAATAGTTAACGGTGGGGTGGTAACCCGGGTGAAGAGCCGTCATCTTACTGGGATGTGGGGAGGTCAGCTCTCGGTGCACTCCTTTTTCAAGCAGCTTGAAAAAAGAGTGCACTTCCGCCTTCCACGGCCAGTGCATGCTCCGAAACGCGCCACAGTGCACCCTGGGATCTGACGTCATCACGGCCACGCCGCCGCTACGTTCCATCCGCTCTGAGGGAGGATGTGCATGCAGGCCGGCCCTCACCGCTGTTCCCCTCCAGCCACCACGCTGTTCCAGCCGAGAGCTAACCTCCCCACATCGCAGTAAGATGGCGGCTCCTCACCCGGGTTACCACCCCACCGTTAACTATTGTTAACCACGGTTTTTAAGCTTATGATTACTTCACACATGTGAGTGTTTCTACATTTAGACTTGAATTAAAAGACTTATTGCACTTAGAGGCACTTCTCTCCTTTTTCTCATCTACAGAAGTTGCTACAGCTTATTTGGAAGCCTTGCCAGTCAGTGCCACACGGAATCCTACGCTCTTCATACAGTAGCTACTAATACCACCATCACCCCATACTACCATTTCCCAGGACTTTGCAGTGTTTGCGCTGTTACAAACCCTTCCTCATTTTTTCTGAATCCCTTATATCACACCCCGGTTGCCAAAAGCAGCAGGTGGTTCAGGACGTGGCAGCTTCTTGTGGATCTCAGGGGGACATGGGTCAATCCAGTTGTTTTCAGGTTCCGAGGGATTGCAGTCGTTTCCTCACCCCTAGATGAATGAAATAAATAGAACGAGCTGTCAGACCACGTGTCTCGTCCTCTATTTGTTGTGTTGCGGCGCTACGACAATTGCGCTGTCATGCAACGCTGCACCCAAACGAAATTTACTTCCTTTTTTTCCCACGAATAGAGATTTCTTTTGGTGGTATTTGATCGCCTGTGTGGTTTTTATTGTTATATAAATGACTAATAGTGGAACTGCGGTGAGCATTCTGACACTGGGGGGGAACTGACTTGGTGTCACTGACATCCCTAGTGACACCAATACAGTGATCGGTGCTAATAAAAAGCACTGACACTGTACTAATGGCATTGGGCAGGAAGGGGTTAACATCTGGGGCGATCAAAGAGATAGTTTTGTGCTGTGTGTGCTTTACTGTGTAAGCAGGCTGCTTTGTATGGCTGTGCTATGCAGAGCCACATAAAGCAGCGTGCTGGAGCTGAAAGGGGAGAGATCTGTATTGTTTACATACAGACCTCTCCCCCGTCACTGGGACCGGTGATCGGCCACTAAAGCCGCCAATTGCGGTGCGGGTAGGGCGCGCGTGTAAATACAAAATCACGTATATATACGTGATTTTGCGCAGCCCTGCCGCCCTGTAGCAGTAGTTCTGCTCTAGGGCGGTTGGGAAGCGGTTAATGCCGCCCTAGCCAATCACAGGGAAGATGACCCTGAGGATTCTGGGAGAGGCTATTTATTCTTTAAGCACACTGAGCTCTAGGTCTTTCCTGGAGAGGATTGAACCAGCCTGGCAGAGGACATGCTGTCCTCCCAGGCACCTGCTGCCATGCGGCCTCAGGTGGGTGACCTGAAGGCCTGAAGAGCGTGTCTTGGAAATTCGCTTTAACGAATTTCTCCTTACCGTGAGTACTCGCAGTTGGATGCGCAGAAATCCCCCATAAAGCTGTGCGAATCTCGCTTACCACGACTGCAGCTAAACTACACGATTCCTGCCCATCCAACTACTTTAGCTTCTGTTGAAATGTGGGGAATTGGAGCTCCTTATACCTGGAAATGATCACACGACACCTTCAGGTTGATGGTTGAATTCACATAAGGAAAGTTTTCATTCTCCCCTCTGGTTTTATTACAAATACACACACGCCCCCCCCACATGAATAAGGTCAAATCCCTCCCACAGAACAATGCAATGGGGAGTGCCTATACACAGGATGTACATTCCGATTGGAGCATAGCCTTTCCTATTATCTGTCACTGGTCCTCCCCCATGAGCCTTCTGAGGTCAGCAGACTTCCTCCCCTTCCCCCCATGAGCCCTCTGTGGAGAGCATATCTCCTCCCCTTCCTCCCATGAGCCCTCTATGGAGAGCATATCTCCTCCCCTTCCCCCCATGAGCCCTCTATGGAGAGCATATTTCCCAGCTCCTAGCAGTATGTTCATTCTCTGTACAAGCATTCCCTAAAAATATCAGTCTGTACCTGGATGGGCCCGATACGATCTTTATTAAAACACATCCATCCGGATACAGTTCAGATTGGTAATGGGTTGTAAGATATGCATAAGTCTACACGCAGAGTTCGTACCGCTTGGCGCCTTGCGGCACGGAGTCCATGTGGTACTATGCTGCTGATATGTGGATACAGGCCCGCGGTCTACTGCCAGCGGCATTCGCATCGAATGCCGTGGTGGTATACACGCCGGTCTATAAGCGCAGATCCGCCATCTCATCCATTACCGAGCTGAGTACTGTAATACATACATTGTACATGCGCATGGCCCAATTGCAGCCTTCAGAGCTTTAATTAAGCCACACGAGAGACATATGAATAACACTCATATATGACACATTTAAAGTTCGACCAACAATACAAAATTTCCATGACATTCCCTCCT